TCATATGATGCAATAGGAAATACATAACCCCACCTGTAAAATATTCTTGTCAAAAACTGAACTGGAATCTAATACAGGACATTCAAGGTATTGTATCACATTTTAAAAACACCACAAAGGGGGCGCCTGGGTGGCGCAGTCGGTTAAGCGTCCGACTTCAGCCAGGTCACGATCTCGCGGTCCGTGAGTTCGAGCCCCACGTCGGGCTCTGGGCTGATGGCTCAGAGCCTGGAGCCTGTTTCCGATTCTGTGTCTCCCTCTCTCTCTGCCCCTCCCCCGTTCATGCTCTGTCTCTCTCTGTCCCAAAAATAAACGTTGAAAAAAAAAAAAAAAAAACACCACAAAGGTCCAATCAGACAAATTCAGACTGTGAGACATTCTATAAGATAATTTACCCAGTTTCTTCAACAAATCAATTGTAAAAAAAAAAAAAAGAAAAAGAAAGAAAGAAAGAAAAAAAAAAGGAGGAGGAGTAATTGTTACAGATTCAATGAGAATTAGCAACTAAATGCAATGGGTAGACCTTGAATCTGGACTTAAGTAGGCCAGTGTAAAAGAAGTCATTTTTGAGACGAGGGAATATCAAACATGGACTGTGTGTGTGTTAATTTCCTGAAGTGTGATCATGGAATTGTTATTTCATTATTCATTTTTAAATTCTCATCTGTTAGAACTACATACTAAGGTATCTACAAAGGCAAGGATGTAGTATCTGGGACTTGCTGTAAAATCCTGCTGCTAATAGTAAGAAGGATAGACTGAAGAGTAAAATAAAGCTGGGTGATGGGTATATGGAGATTATTGTACTACTCTCTCAACTTTTGTGTTTGCTTCAAAATTGTCATAATAAAAAGTGAAAGAAAGGAAGAGAGGATGGATGGAGGGAAAAAGGAAAGAAAAGGAAGGGTGGGGAAGGGAAGAGGAGGAAGGAAGGAAGGGAGGAAGGGAGGAAGGAAGGAAGGCAGGCAGGCAAGCCACTGGGTGTCTCAAGGCTGTAAACCATGAAATTTCAGAGTAATAGGAACAAAAAGAAACTTTGGAGAAACAAACTAGGTTCTTACTTTGTACATCCATGTAAGAATGGCTGAAATAAAAAACACAACAAAAACAACAAGACCTAACAATACCAAATGCTGACATGGATATGAAGCATCAGGCACTCTCTCTCACTACTGGTGGAAACTGAAAATGGTACAGCCACTTTGGAAGATGGTTGATAATATCTTACAAAGCTAAACATAGGTTTAACATGTGATTGAGCAATCGCGCTCCCAGTATTCACCCAAATGAGCTGAAAACTTACGTCCACACAAACACCCGCACAAGGAGGTTTATAGCATTTTTTCTTCTCTCTCTCTTTTTTTTTTAAGCTTATTTATTTTGAGAGAACGAGAGGAGCAGAGAGAGAGAGAGAGAGGGAGAGCGAGAATCCCAAGCAGGCTCCCCACTCTCTCAGTGCGGGACTCGATCTCAGATCATGCCCTGAGCCAAAACCAAGAGTCAGATGCTTGACTGACTGAGCCACCCAGGGGTCCTGGTTTATAGCAGTTTTACTCTCAACTGTTGGAAACTGAATCAAGATCTCTGTCCCTCAGTAGGTGTATCTGTTTGCTAAGGCTGCTGTAACAAAGCCCCACAAAGTGGATGGCTTCAAACAACCAAATTTATTCTCTCACAGTTCTACAGGTTAGAAGTCTGAAAACCTGGTGTCAGCAGGGCCATGTTTACCTGGGACTCTGGGTAAATCCCTTCCTGCCTCTTCCTAGTTTTAGGCAGTGGTTACAAGTCCTTGGTGTTCCTTGGCTTGTGGCTGCCTCACCCCAATCGCTGTCATCACGCGGCCTGTTCCTCTTTTTAGAAGGACATCCGTCATATTGGATTAAAGTCCACCCTAATGACTTCATCTTAACTAGATTACACCTGCAAAGGCTTGTCCAGATAAGGCCACAGTTCATAGGTACCAGGGACTAGGACTTCTACATTTCTTTTTGGAAGATGGGAGTTGAGGGGTACCTGGGTGGCTCAGTGGGTTAAGCATCTGCCTTTGGCTCAGGTCATGATCTCATAGTTTGTGATTTCCAGCCCTGCATTGGGCTTTCTGTTGTCAGTGCAGAACCTGCTTCAGATCCTCTGTCCCCTTCTCTCTCTCTCCCTCCCCCACTCCTGCTATCTCTCTCAAAAGATAAACATTAAAAAAAAGTTGTTGTTTTTTTTTTTTAAAGGGGGTACCTAGGCAGCTTGGTTCGCTGGGTGTCCGACTTTGGCTCAGGCCATGATCTCACAGCTCTTGACTTTAAGCCCCGTGTCAGGCTCTGTGATGACAGCTCAGAGCCTGGAGCCTGCCTCACATTCTGTGTCTCCCTCTCTTTCTGCCCCTCCCCTGCTCACACACTGTCTCTCTCTCCCTCTCAAAAATAAATAAACATTAAAAAAATTAAAATAAAAGACACAAGTCAATCCATAAGCAGGTGAATGGAAAAAATGTGGTATGTTCATACAATGGCGTATTACTCCGTGATAAAAAGAAATGAACCATCAAGCCATAAAACGACATAGAGGGACCTTAAATCATATTGCTTAGTGCAAGAGTCCAGTCAGGAAAGGTGACACTCTTAGGATTCTAACGATATGACATCTGGAAAAGGCAAAATTAAAACAAAGCGTAAAAGAGAAGTGATTGCCAAGGAATTGGGGTAAGGGCGGGGGATGAGGGTCAAGTAAGTGAATAGTTGGGTTTTTGTAGGGTTTCTTTTGTCTTCTCAAATTTTTTCGTTTTAGCCTAAATGTTATTTACTGGAAAGAGCAGAGAGAGTACAGGCCCTCTACGGACAGGAAGGAACAAAACAAGGTGCAATTCTGCCTCCTGTTCAGCATCTTCTCTGGCTGGCCCACTGGGCATAAGGCACAGGGGAGTTTTTTGTTTTTTTAATGTTTTTTGTTTGTTTGTTTGTTTGTTTTTGAGAGACAGAAGAGAGAGAGCACACCGGGGAGAGGCAGAGAGAGAGGGAAACACAGAATCCCAAGCAGGCTTGTCATTAGTGCAAAAGCCTGACACTGGGGTTGAAGTCACAAACTGTGAGATCATGACCCGAGCCAAAATCGAGTCAGAAGGACTCTTGATCGCCTGAGCCACCCGGGTGCCCCGGCACAGGGGGGTTTAAGGCAGTGAAACTGTTCTGTAGGAGATAGCAATGGTAGATACAGATATCGTGCATTTGTCAAAATTAATTGAACTGTACAAAATAAATGAGCCCTAATGTAAACCATTGCATTAATAACATATCGATATTGGTACATTGATTGTAACTAATGTACAACACTAGCTTGTTAATGTTAGGGGAAATGGGGAGGGGCAGAGATTGGGTGTATGGGAACAGTCCTTTTTAATCTTTCTGTGAACCTGAAACTGCTCTACACCAAGAGCCTATTAATTAAAAAAAAATCCTTTATAGAATCTAAGGCTCAAGTATCTTCCCTTTCAAAAAGTCTTTCCTGCTCTCCCACCAACCCAAGACGGATTGTGCCTTTCTCTCAGGCTCCCAAAATATCCTGGGCTTCATCTGCCACGTTGTATTTCAGTATCTGTTTGTGTCTGTCAATAGCTGTGGTCTGTTGACCTCTGGCCTAGAATGCAGAGATGATGAAAGCAGGGAATCCATGCAACCTGTTAGCAGACACTCAGGGGTGCCTGGCAAAAGGCACTTCGGTTCCCTCAACGCACTGATGACGTCATTTGGGTATAATTATCATGAGCCCTCTGCCCCACTAAGGCATTTTCTGGATAGCGGCAGAAGCCACAGTCAGCTTACATTGCATTATTTCAACCTGAGCCAATCTCTAGATTACTGATCTTTTTTTGGTTTGCCAAAGATGGATCCCCATGGAGAAGTTTTTGCACCGGAAACTCTTCTGGGGTTCAAATCTTGCGGTTTTAACATCAAATCCGTGCTGTTTACATTACACAACACTCTCTTTCAATCTTGCTCATATTAAAAGTGTAGGGGTCACTGGCACCAATGCCTACATGCAGATACATAAATGAGAAAAGCAGACTCAGGTCAGGAGGGGACCCTGGCACTTTGAAAAGTCTCTGACCTAGAATGGACAGCCACTCCTTGGCTTCAGCCCATTGTTGCCACACAGGAATGTGAACGCAGTCCTGCCAGATGGAGTACTGATGCAGATTTCTGTTCACATGGAAATGTCTGTCTTTAAAAAATGTTGGCAACTAACACAAATGGTTTAGAAATACTGGAGCCGGCATATTGGGAGGATAGGGCATCATCCAGCTGAAATGGGGTTTTATCATGGAGGGGAAAGAGCAGGGAAAGGGAGACCCTTGACTGTCACCTGTCACACTCAAGGCGCTTATCAATAGTCTTCCAGGTCTGAGTAACCACCAAAGGATTTAAGCAAGAAAGGGAAGATAAGAATGGCATTTCTTAAAGATCACTTTGGCAGTTGATGGGGGCAGGGCTGAGGGTAGGGTGGTGAGTTAGAAGTCTGTAGCATTCAGCTAAGTAAGGGTAAAGGAGAGATGACAAAGGCCTATTTACTTTGTTCTTTCTCCTACCAGACTGTAAACTCCAAGACAGCAAGGCCCGTCTGTCTCATGCTTGCTCTGTCTCCAGCACAAAACACAAAGCCTGCTCAGTAAATATTTGTTAAAAGAATGAATGAAAGGGAGGGAGAAGAGGTGAAAGACGTTTTGGAGAACTGAGTTCAATGGGAGTGGGGGCTGTAGAGGCCTGTTTCCTTCCCTTAAGCTTTCCCTAGGAGGCTTGGGAAGGGCGTGTCTCAACGAAGAGATCACAGAGACCCGCTTCAAAAAAAGAACCAAAGACTTGGCCGGTTCCAGTCCTGGTCCGGGCCACAAAAGAGCAAAATGGTAAGTACCATTAAAGGGCTAAAGGGAAGATTAAGCGAAAATTGAGGGAAAAGCAATTTCTGTCCTTCCCTAGGTCCAATATTCCCAAAACACATGGCGAAAGGGGACTGACCTCAGCCTCCAACCCGGTGGCGATTCCTTTTTGGGTGGGGAGGGAACGGATGACCCCGGAGACTGTGGTTCTGGTCCTGCCGGGTTCCGAGCCCAAGCAGAGAGCGCAGCACCTAGGGCTCACGCCCGCCCAAGCCCTCACCTCGCCCAGTCCCCAAGTTCCCACACGTTCCCTCCTCCCCCGGCTCCACCCCCTCTTCTCCCACCGCCTCTTTCCGCCCCCATTTCCGTCCCCCTCCGCCCGCCTCCCCCTCGCTCCGCGTCCGCGGCGTCCGGGTCTCCTCTCCCCTTCTCCTCCCTCCGTCAGCGCCCCTCTCGGGCGGCCGGGGCAACCCCGTGGCCCGCTCGCCCAATGAGGAGCCGGCGCAGGGGCGGGGCGGGGCTCGGGCCGGAGCGGAAGTGGTGACCGGAGCGGAAGTGGAGCTGCCGCCACCGCCGCCGCCGATTCCGGAGCCGGGGTAGCTGCTGCCGCCGCCGCCGCCGCCGCCGCCGCCTTTGCAGCCGCCGCCGCTGCTGCCTGAGGAGTGGGCTTGGGAAGGAAGCGGTGACCCGCGCTCGGAGCTTCGCCCGCAATCACCTTTGCTCCCTGTTGTCCTCCCCCGGTGAGTGCGGTGCGGGGTCCGCCCGGGGCCCCTGGGGGCCCAAGCGCGAAGCTTTTCCCAGGCGCCGGCTGCCGTGGCGACGCGGGCGAACCCGCGGGTGGAACTCGGGAGGTGTTGGCGCGCGGCTTCCTCGGCCCCGCGAGGCCGCCTGCGGCGCAGGCCCGGCCTGGCCGCGGCCCCTCCCTGTTTCCGGGGCCGAGCCCCATCGCTCTCGGAAAGGCCTGGGCAGCTCTCGCCGCCTGCGACCCTGCCCTGCGGGCGGGGTGCGGCTCCGAACGGGACCCGGAGGGACGTCGACCCGCGGACCCCCGACCCTCCATTCCCCCCCTCCCCAGCTTCGATCCCTGCGCGACCCCTCCCTGCTCCTTGGCGAAAACCGACCCTTTAAGCCCTATTAACCCTGTTCCTTGCTTTCTGGTTTCCAAAAATTAAAGTTTAACCCAACACGGGCGAGTTTTCGAGGCCCAGGGCCTGTATTGACTCCCCTGGATGGGTAAGGGGTTTAACCTTGGGAGAGAGCAAAGGGGAAACCCCCTCCCACTTTGCAGTAAAGCCATTTCTTCATCGGTCGCTGGCTTGGGAGCCTAGCAGAACCCGAGATTCCCTGAGAAGCACAGGGTTGAGGTTTGAACCAAGAAAATGCATTTGTTGGAACCGGTTACTGAGTCAGGCCTGATGCCCGGGAAAAAAATATCAGAGACTGAAAATCGGGAGTGTTTTCCCACGGTATTTACCGTCATTTAATGCCAAAGTCTTTTGTGTCCTCACCCAACATTTACCCATACTGTGTGTTAGCACGTTTTTAGGGCTGAAATTTGCCTGGTGCCCTCCCTGGTGATGGGGAAGGGGTGGGATTGATTTGGGCCCCTTATCTTTAGAGGATTGAGTACATCTTTGTTGCAAATGGAGAACTGCATGTAATGGGGTTTTCAAAGGTGGCAGTATTGGTAATTTGCCAGCGTTTCTGTAAAAATGCATGTCTCTTGTCCTTGGCTTCACTCCCTTTTTCTTTGGTAAGGCTAGGTAGCATCAGACTCTGATTTTACTTGTCCTGTGTGGGAGACGGAATTTGGCAAGATGATGTTATGAACATACAAAATCAGGCGGCCACAGGATCCAAAGCAGAAAGATGAAGCACTTTCAAGAACATGAAAATTGTCTGAATTTCTCACTGTGTCTCAATTGTTCATATGAAACCACACACATAGGCAGTTTATAGAACTGGACACACAGCTACTCAGCTTTTTGCATTTTCTCTTTGGAAATTTATGTGTATACATAGTGCTTGATTATTAGTGATTTTCTTGACTGCTCCCAACGTACCCCATTTCTCAGGAATATCTCAGTTGTCTGAGCCCTCATTTTTCTTGGATCTTTTTCTCTAGCAGCATACAGAATGGTGAGGGTAAAACGTGTCAGTTTTTACTGAACCCTACTTAGAATTTTAGGTGTGGTCTTCCAAATGGAACGCTAATAATTCGTAGCAACTACTGAATTATTTTCCTAGACTCTCTTCGGTGAGATAAGAAACCATTCACCCATCTTACAGATGAAGTCTTTATGGGAAATGAGGTCATTTGGACTAGACCACACACCTAGTTTTTAGATTGAATATCCTCATTCATCAGGAGCAAATGTTTCTGGACTGTCAGCTCCTGGAGTATGGCTCCTACCCTATAATCTTCTGTACATTTCCCATCATGCAGTGCTTGTGTTATGTTGAAGCCATTTTAGAATTGGAGCTCTATAGATCAGGAAGGCAGCCTCCATAAAACCAGGCGGAGCAAATTCCCATGATGCTAGTTATGGAGGCACAGTCTCCAGAGACTTGAGCCACTGCAAAAAGTGACTTTTGCCCAATTGGCTGTGGATATAGGAACAAAGAGCACTGGACTTGGAGTCAGATAAATTTGGTTCAGGTCTTGCCTATAGCATTTTCTAGCTGTGGGATCTTTAGCATGTTACTTAATCTCTGGTTCTTAGCTTCTCTATCTCCAGAGTTGTCCTGAGGCCTTTTTTACAAACTGTAAACTGTTAAATATAAGCTTTTGGTTTTGTTTTTTTTTTTTTTTTAAATCACAGAGTCCACTATTAATAGCTTTCTTTTTTCTTCAGCTGCATTCTCATGAGACCCATCCCTGCTTTACCTGTTGCTTTTCAAAAATCGATATATTATTGTAGAACTTTATTTTGTGTATAGCATCTCCAGTCTTTCTGAGCCTGTTTGCATCTGTACAATACGAATGGTAATATAGTCTTTGTTGTGTTGTGACAAACTCAATAATTAAAATAAGCATATGGGGTATAGTAGGTGTTTAATAAATGTTAGTTGACTATATCTGTGAATATACATATATAGAGACTAGACAAAGCATAAATGCTACATAGTATAGACACAAGAATCCATCCATTTGTCACAATCTCCCAGTTCGTGAGTTTGAGCCCTGATTCATGCTCTGCTCTGACAGCCTGGAGCCTGCGTAAGATTCTCTTTCCCTCTCTCTCTGCCCCTCTCCTGCTTGCTCGCACGTGAGCTCTCTCTCAAATAAACTTAAATTTTTTTTTCAACGTTTATTTATTTTTGGGACAGAGAGAGACAGAGCATGAACGGGGGAGGGGCAGAGAGAGAGGGAGACACAGAATCGGAAACAGGCTCCAGGCTCTGAGCCATCAGCCCAGAGCCTGACGCGGGGCTCGAACTCACAGACCGCAAGATCGTGACCTGGCTGAAGTCGGACGCTTAACCGACTGCGCCACCCAGGCGCCCCACAAATAAACTTAAAAAAGAATCCGTCCATTTGTAATTTATTCATCAGCTGATGAGGTAGCATCAGGTAACTAGTCTATAATAATAGTAATCACTTACACTGTCTACTGTGTGGCAAGCTTTGTTCTAAGCACCTTGCACATATTAACCAAGTCTTCATAACAACTAACAATAGGTAAGTACAATTAGCCCCATTTTACAGATAAGGAAATTGAGGCATAGAAAAGTTAGATAATTTTCCCAGGGGTGTATATACTTAGACCCATACACAGCACAAGGTAAGTAAGCGCTGCAGCCAGAAATCAAACCCAGGCACTTTGGCTCTAATAATAGGTGTCTGCTAATGGTAGAACATGTTTTGTGTGAACACCGTTTAGTTCGTAACGTTTCTTTACACATATCCTATTACAGTAAATGTGTTTGGGCAGGAATTTTAGCTATTTTTGAGGATAAATATCATGTAATACATTGGAGGGACCGTATTCATTCTGACCTATAGGGATGATACTGCTGGTGTGCATCAGGAAGCAAGCTTGTGAAGACCCCAGTGTTTCTAGCATTTGCTTCATATTAGGAAAAGGATTCATCAGTTACTTTGCGGCACACTGATTTATCTAATCCTAGGTTCTTTACCTAATGGGATGTGGTCAGGACTATCATCACTGATTTTGGCTCATCATACTACTTTTTTTTGTAGATTTTGATACTTTCCATATTTTGTTGGGGAGGAAGAGATGAGAAAATAAATCTACGTAAGTAGAGAGAAAATTATAATTTCCTGTTAGGCTACCTATTCTTTCAGTGGCATCACATTAGGCAGCTGTCCTTGAAATAAGGATACCCCAGACTTAACTAAGATTTACTTGTAAAGGGACTTTACACCCCTTGGTTCCTGCATTTTTGTGGGAGAGGTGGCAGTTCACACTAGCAAGGGGGCGAGAAATTTGTTTTTTAAAAGCACCTTCTGAGCATTACAACCATCTTGGTCTCTACAGGAATCTGGTTCTGGTAGTCATCTGTATGTCATGAGGGAGAAACTTTACAGTTGGAGCTGGATTCTAAGGGAATTTTTCTAAGGGGAATACTTAGGGAGGAAAAATAGACTAAAGTACTTTCTATTTTGGGATATGTGTGCTAAAAGCCAAGTAAAAAAGCTTACTGCTTTCTGGGCTAAAAGATCTTCTAATACAGGCATAGTTGTGTTTCTAATATGTACTTATAATGAGATGAGATTGATTGATGGCCTCAAGAGAACAAGTCATTCCCAACAGTAAGTTAGTGAGACAACCTTTTTTTTTTTTTTTTTTAAGATAATCTGGCCAGTTCTCTCTTATGTAAGTTTTTTTCCTGTTAGTTTTATTTCATTGTTTAACCTGAGAGACCCAACAGTAAAAGTTATTTCTGAATGGCCTTGACCGGGACAGAGGTAACAATAAAGTAGATATGAATCCTGGCCATTGTTCTATTTGCCCACAGACCTCAAAGCTTATTTGACAGTCTCTTGAGTTTTTGGCATATGCTATTTTTAACTCCTTAATTTTATTTTGATTTTTAAAGCTAGATGAATTAACGTAAGGCCGATTCTGAAATCTCACTGTAATAACTTTGAATGTTTTTTGAAAAGTTGTCCATTTTATCTTTTCCTTAAGTAAGCATTGGGAATCCTAGTTGAGCATTAGGAAGTAGTGCCACATAGAGGAAAGACCATGTGGCAGCTAATACCTGTGTGACCGTGGGCAGGTTACTCCTGGCATCTGTGAAAGGGGACAATGGCACCTACCTCATAGAATACTTAGGATTAAGTGAGTTGATAATAAAGGCCTAGTGCTTTACACATTTAGGCAAACCATAAATGATGGGTATTTTTGTTATTTATTAAATCAACAATCAACTGGCATGGACTTTGAAAAGAGGAGATGGACAGAAAATATTCTAAGGGCTTGTTGAAACTCAGTTTGAATCTATAAATATAAAAATTGGGGGGTGCCTGGATGGCTCAGTCCATTAAGTGTCTGACTTC